GGTTGGCTTTCTGGGCTGCCAGCGCACACGGCCGGCTCACAGCCAGCTTTTGGCTGGGTTTTTTGGATGTCCAGGGTTTTGAAATCCTCTTCTTATAAACACAGTCGTGTTCTTCTAAAGCGTGTGTTCTCCAAAATGACCATCAGCTGTAGACCTCCAGGATGTTTTCGTCTCACCAGCAGTCTTCTCTCTCTCTTAGGTCGTTCGGTGTTGTCCTCTGGGAAATAAGCAGTTTGGCAGAGCAGCCGTACCAGGGACTCTCCAACGAACAGGTGCTAAAGTTTGTGATGGATGGAGGATACCTGGATCAGCCGGACAACTGCCCAGAGAGGCTGTAAGTAGTAAAGCCGGAGACTGTCGACCAGGCTGCACTCTAGCTAACATCTGGCCGACAGAGGTGGCCCCACATGTGGCCCCTCTTAACTCCCTTCTCTGTTGGGGAGGAACAAAACAGACTCCAGTCCCAGAAATCCAGCCCATGCATCCTTAGTGATCCAGGAATTAAAGACCTGAGCCAGCCTATTTCACTAGAAAGGAAGGTAAACCAACCTGGAGCTCACACCGTGAGTACAGATTCAAAGGAAGGACAAAGCACAGGAAAAGCTTACAGTACACGTCAGCACTGTGTTAATTGCCCAATTAAAATGTTCTTCCTCCGCTCCAGACTGGTGGATGGCGGTTGGCTTATGTCAACAAAGCCTGGCCACCGTCTGCATCCACGTGGCTGCAGGGGCTGGAGAGCAGCTTCTTAACCCAAGGCCCGATGAGGTTTTCTGTAATTCATCTCTCTATACCACGTAAACAGCCTTGAGAATTCCAACAAATTTTTACTGCTGATTTTCAGCAATCCGATTTATGGCTAATGAGGGCGAGGCAGGAGCATGCTCTGCTGAGCCGAGAGCTGTTGGTCGTGCCCGGGGGCTTTGCTGCAGCCTCTTTGCCCCGCTTACGGGACAGGGCGAGGCTGCCCGCAAGGGTAGGGAGAAGAGAGGGCGCTGTGAGAAGAGAGGGTGGAACGCCTCGTAGGGAGTGCAGCCTGAAGGCAGACCTTCTCCTGCGCCGGGGTTAAGGGTCACACTCTGAGTAATTAAAAAAACCCTGTTACTGCGTGTTTAACCTGAGCCAGGGCGGTGGGACAGCAGGAGCCACTGCTGAGCAGTGGGGAGGGGCAGCCTGGGAGCCTCATACCCCAGCCCGCTCTGGCCAAAACAGCCCTTTAGAGCCAAAAAATAGACACATTTTTTGAGCATCCTTGAGAAAAAAGCCGCTGTCCTGACACGGGTGCCTCGTGGCCACTTATTATTTATACTGGTAAGTTCTTTGTCACTGGTGTCCGAGAACATGCGACCTCTTCACGCAGCCTTCTTTGGGCCGGGATGTTTCCAGCACCCCTGTCCTCCGCACAGCCTCCTTTTTGCCTTGAAGTTTTAGGAGCTTGGGTAGCTTTCAGGCCATGAGTTAAAATTAAAACTGAATGAATTAAAAAATCCCGAGCGGGCTGCAGGCGCGCACGCGCATCCACAGGGAATGTGAACCGCAGCCCGGTTTCCTTCGGAAGCCGGGTTCAGAACAATTGGAGGAATTGGAAGGAATTTTTGATCTGGACAGGAATAGAGAGTGTCAGGATCTACAGGCAGAAATGGAGACTGGAAAGAGAACAAACGACTTGAGGTTTCAGAGGGGGTGTGTGGGGGGCCTGACCTGGATGTGGTCAGGGTCTGCCAGCCCTGCCTACGTAAAACTTTGTCTTCCCACCCCCGCCCCGTGTTTGTCCCCACATAGGCACAGCCTGATGCAGATGTGTTGGCAGTACAACCCTAAGATGCGCCCCACCTTCATCGAGATCATCGAGATGCTGAAGGAGGACTTGCACCCCAGCTTCCACGAGGTCTCGTTCTTCTACAGCGAGGAGAACAAGCCTCTGGAAACGGAGGAGTACGAGATGGACTTTGAGAACATGGAGAGCATTCCCCTCGATCCCTCCTCGTACTCGCAGAGGGACAAAGTCCTGGGGCGGGACAATGGACCCTCCATGGCCCTCAAGGGGAACTACGAGGAGCACATACCTTACACTCACATGAACGGTGGCAAGAAAAACGGGCGGATTCTCTCCATGCCCAGGTCAAGTCCTTCCTAACGTTTCCTGCTTGGCCCAAGGGTTGTGTCCGCTTTTCCCCCCACCCCCCAGATCTCAGGACTCTCGTTGCTGCCACAGTGTATGACACACATCGACAGACTCTTCAGATTTTTAATCATCTTATGATTAATACCTTTCTTTTGCCAAGTTGACTGGTTGTCAGTGGACTTATCTGTGAACATAAATGGAAGAGGTTTCCATGGCTGCTGTCCCTTCCGTAACCATGGTTTCAAAACAGGAAGCGACCCTGTAAGTTAAACCGAAGGAGAAGCATCCACGTTTGCCAACAGAAGACGTGAAGTTTGCTGGTATCTGAGCTACAGCCTAACGGTGCGGAACAGAACCTCTGCAGGACAAAAGCATTTCCAGTAGAATTCCAGGCTTTCAGGCATACTCCTCACTACAGCTGAAGGATTCAACACATCAGTCGGACGCGCCAGATCCTCAGATTGACCAATAGCTGCTGCTTTCATACTTTTTCAGTGGGTTGAAGCCCAGGGGTGCGTGCGTGTGCGTGTGTGCAGTATAGCTACGTGGGGTGTATATGTATAGCAAAATATACCCTTCTGGTTTTTGTACAGAAGTTTTGTATGTTCTCACAGAAGCTCTCCTCTCCTCGGAAGTGTGTGCTTATCTTCTTCTTCCCTGTTTCCCTGGAGTGACTGAATCCTAAACAGATTATTTTTATACTGAGGACTCTTGGGAGTAGGTTTTCTCTCATTAACAAATGAGGAAAATGTGCTGGGAAGCAAAGGAGCAGAAATCTGAGATTTGTGGGTACTTTCAAGACCAAACGAAGTAGGAGTCCCCTGACCCGAGACATGGAGTTTTCTGTCCTTGCAGCATTGAATATATATATTGTTTGTTGTAACATATTTAAAAATGTCCTTAGTTTAAATTTTAACTTCATATAAATTATTGACTGTTTATGATCCTTTCGGGGAGGGGAGAATTTGGAGGATTGTTTGGTCTTAAAGTGGTCCAAAGATTTCAGAATGAACTAATTTTAGCCGATTACCCTTTTAGGAGCTACGAAGCACATGTTAAGTTTAAACTTGACAAGGCTTTATAATACAGTTTCATGATTTATACAGCGCAGTCGGCTGGCTCCAGTCGAAGCCCTGAGAGAAAGGAGTCGGGACTTCACGTGGTTGTTGGGACAGCACAACATCCCCGTCCCGAGTCCTGCTCCTCCCTCGGCCCCGCGTCCCGTGCCTTCCGCGCGCGCTGTGCCGCAGCAGCACCGCCAGCGAGAGGGGACGAGCAAGAACTCGAACCGGAAAAAGAGACGCTGAAAGGGGGGGGAGCACAAGGCTCTCGGCTCCGCACGGGAAGCAGAACGTGACTGTGGTTAGCCACCCGCTGCCTGGCTGCTGCTGCTCGGGCGTCTGGCCTCGTGCTGCCCGCAGGCCTTCCGTGTTTGCCGGAGATGCCCCGCGTCCTGCACGCTTCCCGGGACGCGTGCGGTAGCCACTGCTTTCGGCTCTGCGGGATGTCAGCTCTCGTCTCCTGGACGGTGCTTTGTTTTGCTGCTCTTTGCGTAGGTGACGGAGCTGTCGGCGTAAGACGCTAGGAAATACTTGCGGAGCCGGCCGCGTTGCGCAGCGCGGAGGCAGGGCTGGCAGGGAGGAGTGCCAAGGCAAGGAATGAAGATTATCCGTGTCGCAGGCCTTTGTCGTACAGGAGGTGGTTTCAGAAGGGGAGAGAGATGCTCAGTCCTCCGCTTCTCCTCCTGGAGAAGCCCAAGAGCCAGGTTGTGCTCTCTGCCAGGAGAAAACGAGGCTCGCGGTGAGAGGGGGAACGCCGAGCTGGCGTGTGCCTCCTTATTCCAGCCCGGGCGGTGCTGCTGATCGCTCCCTGGAACCCATGGAAGGGGCTGGAGTTCGTAGGGAAGCGCCTCTCCGATCCCGCTCCGCCGGAGCCACGCAGCAGCTAAACCGCTGGATGACGGACTCGGCACCGCCGCGAGCTGCCGGGCCTTTGCTGGTGGAATCGGGGTCGGTTGGGGCGAGGGGGGGGTACAGGCTGCTGGCAAAGTGAGGGGGAGAATACACAGTCCAGACCCGGGTAAGAACCTTCGGTTTCAAGAGGCCTCGTTTACATTTCTTCTGCTTTCCAAAGTAGGAACCCTCTAGCAGCTCTGTCCGAACCGCAGGAACGAAGACATACTCTCACACTTTTCTAAGGAAGAGACGCTTTTCTTATTAGAATTTTTTATTTATTTTAATATATAAA